ATAAAAAAGTAGAAAGATCGATAGATAATAATTATTATAACTAATATTATTCGCGAAGAAACTTAAAGAAGAATAAAGATTTTATATTAATTATTATAAGTTAAATTTTATTATAAAGAAAGATAAATATCTATTACCTTTAATTAAAGAGATATTAATTAGATTAAAAATAATTAAGATTTTTATAAAGTTAAATATTAGATAAATCTTCTATTAAATATAAATAAAAGAGTTAATAGAAAATCTTATTATATTCTAAATATAGTATAATTCTTTTAAATATAAGATATTACTCTTTAGCTTATATAATAGACTAGTATTATTTTAATAATTTATTAATAAGGTCTTTTAGAAATATCTAGATAATTTTTATATAATCTATATTAATAATATTCTAATTTATTTTATTTATCTACTAAAATATTAAGCTTACGTTATAAAAGTACTAGAAATATTAAATAAAATTAAATTATAAGCTAATATTAAGAAAAGCGAATTTTATATTACTAAAATAAAATTTTTAGACTTTATAATTAGTATAAATAGAATCGCGATAGACTCTAATAAGATAAAAGTAATATAAAATTAGGCTTTACTAATAAATATTAAAGATATATAATTATTTAATAACTTTTATAACTTCTATCGGAAATTCCTAAAGAAGTTTAAAAAGATAATTAAACTATTAATACTATAAATTTATAAAGACTTTTAAAAGCTACTTAAAGATCTAAAATATAAGATTTTTAAAAAAATAAAAATATTAATCTTATTTAATTAAGTCTTAATTTACTATAATCTTTAATTAGAAACGCGGGTTAAAATAGATTATAGTAATAAAGTAATTACTAGCGTTTTATTATAAAAGTATAAAAATATATAAAGATTAATAATCTTTTAATTTAGGTTCTTAAATAAGATAGAAATAAGATATTTAATTTATAATAAAAAGATACTTATTATTATCTAGATTTTTAAGAAATAGAGAAATATATTAATTAAATTATAATAAATATTCTTTATAATAATTATAGATTATAAAGTATTAGAATACTTCTTTATAAAATATCTATTAAACGCTCGTTAAACTTAATAAAATAAAAAGTTAATTAATTATAATTTTAAGATAATCTACTAGCCTAAAATATAAAATATAGTAGTAAATACTCTCTTTTAAAAGTAAGAAGATTTAAAAACGGCTAAAAAGAAAGATATTATAATAAGAATTTAAATAATAATAATATTAAAAATAATTATATCGCTAATAAAGCTATTAAAAATACTATAAAAAAGTCTATAAAAAGTATTAATTAAATTAACTAAGATAGTCTTAATTAAAATCTTTTAGAAGAACGGCGTCTTTAAATTATTAATATTTACTATTAAAGAAGAAAAGGATAATAAATTTAAAGCGGAAAGAAGAAATCTAGATATACTTCTTTAAAATAAAAAGTATATCTAAAAAATTTCGTAATAACTTTAAAGTAATAAAACTTAGAATTAAATATAAATTAAAGAAACTTTTAGATTATCTAAATAAGCTAATAAAATAGTTAAGACTAAAGAATTAATAAAAGAGCTTAAAATTTATAATAAAATAATTAAGTTAATAGAATTTAGATAAATAAAAGAGAATAAAATAATATTAATTAAACTAATTAATTAAATAATAATTATAAATAGAATTTATAAATTATTAAAGATCTTTTAAAAGTAAATTAAAGTATCTAAAAATAAATAGAAATTATAAAATAGCCTATTAATTTACTATAATAGACTAATAATACTAGATATAAATAACTACTAAACTTATCTAATTAAAGAAGTTTACGATATTTATATTATAGATTATCTAAGTATAAAAAAGATAAAAGAATTATTATAATATTAATATTATTAGCTAGGACTATTTAACGACGTAAATAAATATATTCGAAATTATTATATATATTAAAGAATATATATACTTTAAAATAAGACTTTAGAGTTACTAAAACTATTATCTATTAAAGATAAATATTAGTAATATATTTTATTTAATTTTAAATTATTTCTAAAAGATAAGTATAGTTTTAAAATCACTTTTATAGTTATAAATAGGCTTAGAAAGAGAGTTATCTCTATATTATATATAAAGAAGATTATTATAGCTTTAATAGTAAAACTATACTTTAAATATATTTTCCGGATTTACGATATACTAAAGATAGTAATATTAGATAAAGATTTTTAGTTTATTTTAATTTTTATAGATAAACTTTATAAATTAATAAGCGTTAAGTAAAAGCTATTAATAGTATATTATTTATAAATAAATAAAAATATAAAGATTATTAATTAATATATTAATTTACGATTAAGGCTAATAATAAACTATTATTAAGATAATTAATTAAAACTATTACCGGTTATAGATTTTATATAAGCTACACTTTTATATAAATTTATAAGAATATCGCCGTTCGAATTAAAATTTAGATATTAGCCGCGGATATACTTTAATTAATATAAATATATAGATTTAAACACTTATAAGATTATTAAAGAATATATAAATTAAAAAGAAGTTTAATAATTTATAAAATATATTTATAATATTATTAAATAAATTAAAAAGAATCTTTTTTATATTTAAATTATTTAAATTAAAGCGGTTAATAAGTATTAAAAAGAGTTAAACTTTAAGTTAGACGACTATATCTTTATAATAAGAAAAGATTAAATAATAGATAAATTAAATATAAAGCTAAATTATTAAAACGCCGGATTATATAAGATTATTAGTATAAAAGATTATTTTTATATTATAAATCTACCTTTTAATATAAAAATAGATAAAATATTCTATATAAATTAATTATAGAAAGCTTCTATAAATTCTTTACTAAAGTAGTAGCTAAAACTATCACTATTAATAAAGATAAACGAAGAGCCGGAGTATAAAGTTAAAAAGATATTAGTAAGCTAAATTTTTTATAAAAAGTTTAAATATAAAATTAACTAAATTAATTATAATTTAGATAATATTTAGTATCTAATATATAACTTTATCGAATATTTATATAAGATATAGAGTTTCTATAAATAATAATTAGATAAAGCCGGGCTATTAAAATAACTAAATAAATAGCTTTAAATATATTAAATAAATAACTTTAAACTAGAGCTATACGCTAATAATAATATTATTAAAAAAAACGAGTCTATATAAACTTAAAAGTATCGAAAACGTCTAAAATAAAATAGCTTTATAAAAGATAATATTATACTAAAATTAAGGCCGATTTCTATTTTAGGGAAAGAGATAATATAATAATTATTATCTATTAATCTTTTTATTTTCCTATATTTAGTAAGTTTACTTATATTTAACTTAATTATATTATTAGGAAATTCTATTAATTAATAAAGCTATTTAAGTTTATAATTATTATTTATAATTTTCTCTTTTCTTTAACTTAATCTCTTTACTTAATAATAGTTATATATAGTTAATATTAATAGATTAACTCTTAATACTATAAATATTATAGTATTTATAAATATATTTTTATATATTATTAATTTAATTTCTTTTATAAATTATATAAATTTAAACTAAATTATATATTATAATTATAAGTTATAAAAATATATAAATAATAAATAAAAGAAAAAAGAAATATCACTTAAAAAAATTATAAATAAAATAAGTAATAAAGAATTATATAATTTAGATAATAGTCGTTAATTATATTAATTATTATAAACGATTAATAATTAGAATAATTAAAGTATAAATAACTAAATTAATTATAAAGAATAGAAATATTTAAAAATAATCTTTTTTTTATATATTTAGATTTTTTATAATTATTTTTATTATTAATTTTATTTATAAATTTAAATATTATAGTTTTAAACTTAATTTTACTTATTATATTATTTCTATATAATATATCTTATCTTATTATAAATATTACTTAAAGTTAAGAAGTTAGTAAATTATACTATTAACTTAAAATATCTTTATTATATATATTTTATTACTTTATTAAACTTATCTTTATAGTTAATTATATTAAATAAGAAGTTAAATATATTTCTAAACTTATTTAATTCTATCTTAATAAGTATAGACTTTTATTATAATATTATAATAGACGATTTAGTAATAGAATCTCGTATAAGCTTTAATTACAATTTAAATTTAAGTGTATTACTTAAAATCTTTAATTACCACGGCGTCTATAGTGGTAGGGGTTTTAATAGAGTATATAGGCGTATTTTAAGACGATCTAGCACTACCTACACGTTGATAGGGATAAGGCCTAATACCTTAAAGGCTTTACGATAGTTCTCCTCTATAAATACGTCAAAAAACGCGTCCTTAAAGGCTGATAGAAAGCCCTCTTTATTAATATAGAAGACGCGCCGGCGTGTTAAGTCTCGAACGCGCTAGGAGTACTTGCGCTTTAATGGCGAAAAGTAGACTACGTCAAGTGGTTGGAGTATATGCGATAAGTGAGGAGGTATATAGAGCGTTAAGATCTTGTTCTCTAGGCAGTAATCCTTGAAATCCTAGTTAAGGTGGCTCTCATGGCCGTCGAGGATAAGTAGCCGGTATACCCCTACCGTACGCGCCGTTCTCAGAGACTGAGATCTTCCAGTTGCGCGGTATATCTGTCTCCTCGTACCATGCAGAGATGTGGACGCGGCCTTTGTAGATGATGAAGGGTGGGATCGCGTACCCTGCAGCGCAGATGCTCTAGATGACTGTAACCCACTCCCGATCGCCTGGCTGGATAAGATTAGGCCTCGTACGCCTCTCTGCGCCTGTAACAACTTTCATTAACCCAATTACACCCATCTGGAAGCCAGTCTCGTCGAAATTGTGGACGTCGTCGTCAT